AATGTGTCGTAATTATTTTCAAATACAAGAAATTCATTTCTTTTAGCTTTATTCAACCATCTCAATGCTTGGTTTTCAGTTTCTATTACAGCAATCATATTTATAAGGTTATTAATTGTGGTAAAGGTTTTAAATAATTGTGGGATATTATGCAAGTAAAAATGTTGAGTCAATAGTAATGATCTTGTTGTAATTGATTACAGAATTATATATTAATATGTAGTTCGAAGGAAATATAGAGAGAGGAGAGGTAGATAATTTCTTGGCCATTATATATTATTTTGACCTCGGCGGAATTATATATTTATTTACTTTATATATACAAAAAAAAATAAAGGAAAACTTTAGATTGATCATGAGATTTCGGGATTTTTTTTATTATTTTACTTTTAAGTCCTCGACATTAATACATGCATATTTATTTCGGCAAATTGATTTATTTGTTAATGCAAATTTAATATTTGAATGACGCCTGATAAAATCTTGTGACAAATTTGGAATTGCTGATGGACAACCAATTGCGAGCTAGTATCACCATTATATGCATTTTATCGTAATAGAGATTAATTTTAGCTTAGAACCATACCCACTTTGTTTAATGAAATGCAGATCTTTTTTTTTAATTTTCCAAAAACCCTTTTTCTTTTTTTGTTAAAAAATTTCAATCATCTGACTTTGCATCCACCAAAAAGTTTTTGTACATATTAATATACCATTATAAAGCCTAATATACTAAAAGTAATCCGATAGATGGAGATTGTTATAACAACTTAACCATAAAAAAAAACGTGGACAAATAATATTAATATAATTCTTGCATTTGAAAAAATATTTTGTGTAAAGGGATGATTGCAATACACTTGAATCTATTAGACCAAAAGAAGGTATGAATATTATTACGTCAATGGCGAGTATGTTGAATGAACGAATATATTGTTACTGATGTTGAAAGAAATTCTTTCATTAAGCAAAAGAATTAATGTGTAATTTTTTTATGTTGTATAATCTAGGAAATGAATGTTAGAAGAAGAAAAGTTTAATGCAAGCTTTCAACATCCTACAAATATATCGTTTATGAATAAAAATGTTTAATTCAACGTGGAAGATACTTTTTTTCCTTAAAGTTTGTCATTTTGTCATTTAGAGATTATTTTGGTATAGAGGTGTTTGTGTTGCTTCAAACTAGGTGAATTGTATATTATACATTATGATATAAAATACTGCTAGTGAATTTATTTTATTGTCTTGAAAATGATTTTAATTGTCCTTGAAGATAACGACATATTAATTAGTAATAAAAATCACCCAATTTCATTACGCATCAGCAAATCACAGAAAAGCCCGCTATGTTGGATTCATTGAGCATATTGAATAATAACGATAATAATAATTACAACAACAATAATTATTATTATAATGATAATAATTATAATTATAATGATAATAATAATTATAATGACAACAATGATGGTTAATTACATGGAATATATATGCAAACAATAATGTGCGAAATAGATTCTTATTTTCCATACATGTGGCGAAAATCACACGAGTTTTCGAAACCGAAATCGAAATTAATAATTAGGATCGAAATTGAGAATTTAGTCTCGAAATTCGGAATTAATAAATAACATTTTTGCTTATATAGCTTATTCATTTCTTTAAATAATAACAATCCTAGAATCCGAAATCTTTATTTAGAAGTCTGAACATACATGATAGAGAAAATCAAAATGTCCCTAGCGAAATTCGAAATCGAAATTTATTCTAATTTGAAATTCTAAAAGTATTAATAGTAATTCAAAATTCAAAGTCTAATTTAAAATAAAAATAATTCAGTCCTTTTGATTCTTGTTTTTGATTTTGATTATTATTAGACAAACTCCTTGTTCCAAGAATCGAATTCAATTTAGGATTTCGATTTCGATTTTAAAATTTTAATTGGTTAAGATTGAAATGTTAGGAACCCATGATTATTATTACGAAATCGAAAATGAACCTATTTTGCTATCATGTAAGCGGTCAATTCAGAAAAAATTCCAAAAGTAATGTAATGTAAAAATTTTTTTTAATGATTATAACATAAAAAATGAGTTTACTCGAATATAAGTAGCTCAAGATCAAGAGCTTGGTATGTAACATAAAAATTATTATTTTGGTATTTATATTTTACAAATAATATTTCTAAAAAAATAAAAATACAGTACATGTGGTAAAAATAGGTTGATCACTTGATTCAATCAGGTGACTTTTTGACGTAATTGATTGAGTCATATGAAAACATATTAATATAAATGATCAACTTGTTCCTAAAGAAAATTAGTGCGAAGCTTAAACTGAATATTGAAATCAATAATCAGACTAATTGGAAGGAACAGGCGATGAACAGTTGACCTAAATGAATATAAATTATTACGGGGGTAGTTATATGTTAAATGGAACTAAATATTTGTATAATAACAATAATAATATATAAATTTTTCTAATAAACAATGTAACGGTACTGCATCGGTAAAAAAACAACAACATATAAATGATTGAGTCAGACTCGATTAAAAATTGGATTGAGTCAAAGCCAAATTAATTTTGACAACATGTATAATTATCACCTTATCCATTAATGAATGTTTTACACAATTTATATTCAACATAAAAAAAAAATCAATTTGCTCAAGAGGGTTTGTAATAAAATTACTTTTAATGCCTAATATAATTATATGGCACTATTATAATTTTGATAAAGTATTTATATTTGGAATAAAAAATGTAAAAGAAAGAGCTAGGGTTGTTAACGGTCTGGTCTGGTCTGGTCCATAGGCCATCAGTCTAATCAAAGGACCGGACCGTTGGACCGGTCTGAGACCGCGGTCTGGACTACAGTCCAGACTTAGGGTTTCTATTTGAGTAAAATGAATAAAACCAATGAAACAAATAAATGAATGAAATAAATGACTCGAATAAACAAATGACTTGAATAAAACGAATGATTTGAATATAACGAATAAGAAAAATATTCATAAAAATTAAAAATTCTCCTAGATAATTGATGAAATGCGTACAATTTTTCAATTAAAAAACAAACCTTTTTTGGTGCCAATTTTAGATGCTGAAACAAGGTGGAATTCCACCTATTTAATGATCAAAAGATTTCATTGAAAAGAGATCTATTATTGAGTGTTTAGTTAATAATAATTATGAAGAATTACAAGAGTTATGTTTAACCATATGTCAAATTGGATGCGCATTGGAGTAAGTTTTATTCTCCATTATTTGTATTTTGACAGGTTTTTTTATTTATTTTAGGAATCTTTAGAACCAATGTATGAAGCAGCCAAATTATTACCATCATCTTCATATCCAACAATGGGTGATGTAAGATTAGCCTTTATTGGTATGTCCATCACACTAGACCATTATCTTGATGCACAATTACAACCAATAAATGATTGCATCCTCAATTTAGTAAAACTTGACGATTATTTTTAGATCAATCATTATCATTAAATGCCATTTTAAGATCCTAGAACAAAGTTAACTACCTTTAGGCAATAATATTACAGATGAAACAATTCAAAAACTTCAATCAAATTATTCTCGCCAGGAAAACATAGTGACCACAAATATTCAAATTCTGCTCGTAATTACTTTTACAACATTGTACGTCGAAATATAGCTACTTCAACTATACAATCTGAAGATAGGGAATTAGATAAATACTTGAGAACTCCAGTTGAACCAGATGTAGAACCTTTAATATGCTTGCGAGCTCATGAAACAGAGTATCCAATATAGTCAAACAATTGCAAGTGATTATTTGGTAATACAATCAACTGGTGTTCCAGCAGGAGAAACTTTTTCCATTGCAGGTTTAATCACTGGTAAATTACGAAATAAATCACTATCTGATACTGCTTGTGCAACTGTTTGCTTAAAAAGTTGGATTTCAGAAGAAATGGGCATTAATAGAGACAATGAATGAATTTTGATGTACAGTCTTTACAAAAAATCATGCTTTTCTTTACTACATTCCCCAAAAGCATAAAGGTGACAATGGTTCAGACATGAAATATGTTGATGTTTAAGTAACTCTATTTTATCAATCAAATGTTTTTTTCTGCTAGATACACATAAGCCAGCCTAAATCTTTATATTTAAACCGACCATCTAATTAACTTGTTCTTTTTAATCCATTAGGATACTATTCACAATATTTCTTTTTTTCGTTGCCTTTAATATTAAATATAAAATGGGGTTTCCTGTTATTGGAGTCAGTTTTATAAGAACTCATAGAAAATATTATTAATCAAAAATGAACCGAAAAACCAGTTATTTTAAATTGTAATTATTATTATAATCTCAAGTCTTAGTAAAATACAGTAAGTTCCTCTTCATTTGTGTTTAAAAGAAAATACGATATATTTTTCATGAATAGGTAGAACATATGGAACAGATGGAGATATGTGTTTTCTCATCTAATTGATAATAATATTTAATGTTTTATACTTTTACAATACAAAATCTGCTGAAATCGGCATCCGACCACTATACAGGTAAATTCAAGTTTGCCTGTGTATGGTGTGTCATGGTGATAATAATAACACAAAAAAAAAAAACAATTCCCATTACATTGATACAAATATGATAAAAGTTTCCCTTAAAATGTACATATTAATATTCATTCTTATTCTTAATAAAAATTTTTTTTCTTCCTCACTTAAATAAAAAAAATGAGTATTAATGAAAATTATGGCATTTGTTTATATTGTAATAATCCCAACACGGGAAGACAATGGTGTAAAGCATGCGATCCAGAATTCTCAGTTATGAGTTGGAAAGTCGAAAATGAATCCATAAGGGAATTTATTTTAAACAATGTAAAAAAAGCAAATCATTACGATGACCCATTTCTTAAATACATTCCTTATGAAAAACTTACAGTTCTCGAAAAAATAGGTGAAGGTGACTATGGGGTTGTATATCATGCCAAGTGGCATGATGCTAGACATAAATACAAAGTAATTGATGTCGCCATGAAAGAAATAAAAGGCAGTTATGATATATCCCTTGATTTTTTATCAAAGGTAATGAACAATAATATAAATAAAATCTAAATTAATGCTTTTATTAATATCAATATGCATTATATTTCGTAAATATCTTACACACATGTAATAGATTGAAGCTCATTTTCAACGCTTATATATATGAAGATCGAAAATATATCACAGAGAAATTATTAAGATTATATGGTATTACACAAAATCCAGCTACAAAAAATAATATAATAATTATGGATTATAAAGAATATAGCCTACGAGATTATTTAGATAATGGATTACAAGAATTAAAACAACAATCACAATGGACAAGTAGGATCGAAATCCTTTTCAACATATCAAGTGGTATGAGAAGAATTCATTGTGTGGGATGTATTCATCATAATCTTCATTGCGGGAATATTTTAGTAAAAATTAAAGCAAATCGAATCCATACATATATTACGGGATTTGGATTTTCATCAGATGTTAAAACTAGCCCTAATAGTAATGTGTTATCTGGAGTTTTACCATATATCGCACCAGAAGTACTGCACGGGCAGCCACAATCTAAGGAATCAGATATTTATAGTTTTGGTGTGATAATGACCGAAATGACTACTGGGAAACCACCATTTTATGATATTCCACATGATGAAAAACTGGCTGCAAGAGTTTGTGGTGATGGATTGAGACCAGGAATAAACAAGGACACTACTCCAGCGAATTACTTCCGATTGGCTAAACAATGTCTTGACGCGGATCCAACAAAAAGGCCAACTTTTGATGAATTAGATGAGATATTAGGGTTCTGGTATGATTCATTATTTGGTCATGGTCTTTATCCAGACAGGCTGGAAGAAGCTGTTGTTCTTAGGAAGAGTTTTGAACCATTTGATAATATTCAGATTGAATCAAATTACATTCCTCATAAAGATGCATTTTATATTAGTAGAACATTCGGTTTTAGTAAATTTTCTGAACCAAAAAACCACAAAGATCATTATATTTATTAAACTTTATTATAACATTAAAAAAGTAAAATATAATAATTAATTGTTATAATCTATAGGTGAATTTAATTTAATGCATTCTAAAACTTATTCAATGTCAGGACGTTCCTCAGGTTCAAATCTCCAACAGCCTAATTTTTAGAGAAAAATTAATTATATACATTTTGCAAACAACAGCAGCAGCAACAACAAAAATAATTACTTTTATAAAGTTTTTCATAAAATTCCAGAGTATCTTTAACTTGTTCTTCACGAAGATTTTCATAAACAATCATGTAGCATAATTTACATGGTTCTTCGATGAATTTATTTTCAAAGGGAATTTCCCACTTGAAATTTGCCAAAAAAATACCAAGATTATGATTATAGGGATATTCAGTATGATATAACTCTTGTAGAGTGTATGATATGGCATGGTATAAGTGTAATAAGATATAAAATTTTGTGTGACTTGGTATGGAAAAAAGTGGGCATCTTTGAGAGTTATAACATACTGGATTTCTCCCTAACACAAGTTTATAAATGCTTTTTTTTTGATCTTCTATAAAACTTTCTTTTTTTCGGATTTTTTAAATTAGTTATTTTGAATTATGTAATCTAACCAAAATTGGGTGGCGAAATTGACAATAAAATAAACCAATGTCAAATTTCTAATTCACCACAACAATTAGCAGTTAAATTGTTCCACATAGTTAGTGGTGGGTGTGTACGCATTTTTCATATTTAGGGAGACTATATGTGAAGAATCGCCAAAATTTAAATATCAATTCTGTAAATAATATTGATTCTTTTTATCTGAGCAATATTAAAAAAGAATTCAAACATACTGGCAGACTTTATCAAAAAAAGATCGAGGCAGAAGTTAATTTGGATGATAGTTGATTCGCATTTTTCTCTATCATTGTTGTACGTGAAATTGAAATTATGTGAAATTGAAATCCACATATGCATAATTTAATTATTATTAACGTTCACAAATATTTATTGAAGAGAGTAAAATTAGATAATTACTTTGTGATTATGATAATTAACTATTTATTCGTTGTTGTAGAGTAATGTAGATATGAACAAATTATTTATTTATTAAGTAATTTAATAAGAATCATTGAAAGCATAAACATAAATGAAATGAAATAAAAAAAAAACTAGTAGTAGTTATTATAAATAATAACAAAAATCGAACTACTTCTTCTGTTTCTTCTTCAAATGATAATAGTCAAACAATTTGACCAACCTTACCAAACCAAAAGCATTCCAAACTCGTATCTCATCTGCATCATCTGATAACAGATGAAGGGGTGTAGGTAAGAACATGCCAAAAAAATTATGTGACTGTTAATATTGATAAAATTATTGACTAATGATGTCTTCTATAGATTTGGCATGTGCTCGTCATGGCCTAAAGGCAGAAGATCTGCTACCTAATTCATAATACCTTTGTTCCTATAATGTATTATACATATCTATTAAAATATTCATGATGGTTAATGTGTTATTATTATTGAATTAATAAATAAATTGTATTGCCCAAACTTTTAAAAAACCAATTTTGAAAAAAAAGCCATATAATGACCTGATGAAAACATTTTGCAGAGTTGGAAATAAATCCAACATATTGAATTTAGATGT